CTGGAACCCATTGGTCCGACATGGCCTCGGACTTGGGATGGGTTGGTGGCTGTTGTGAATCTCGGATCCGTGCGCCTGTCAGCGGCGCAGCACAATGCTATAAATATTATCTTACAGTTGACGGTTTCAGACCATCCCTCCGCCCCCGAGACCGAGGTCGAGAAGGATTTCTTTCCTCGTTTTTTACGCTTCTTCCAATCTTGTGTGTTTTCGCCTTGTCTTCCGTTTTCTCGTTGTTCCACACGAATTTTGCGGCGTATAATTATTCAATTTCACCCTGCGCTTGCGTGCAGCGCGTCAAGATACGGCGGTTGTCAGCTTTGGTTGCTGTTTAATACCTCCTTTATTGCATTTGGTTTGGACGCGGTTCCCATTGAGTGCGAACCTCAAGATGTTGTTGAGAGGGATGCCAGCACCTTCATATCGAGAGCGCATGTTGCGGACTCGGACGTGGCTTCTTCTCTCCCTCCTCGCCATCAACACCAAGGTCGTCGCCCAGGACACGGGAAACTGGCCATCCAGCTTCTTATATCCAGTTGGCGATCTCACTTTCAACACCAACGACACCGTCATCGTGTCGTACCTGAGCCCGTTCCAAAGTCCAGAGATGTACATTTGGTGTACCCCAGGTTATGATACAAGGAAGAGTAGGTGCTTTCCATTCCACTCTCATAAATACTGTCCCTGTTTTCCTCGCGCTCCGATGGAGGAGTCTGGTAGAACAACGGGGAAAATACCTACTTGCGCAGCAGCTAATAACGCCTCGTCTCGTCACAGCATGGTATTCAAGCAAGATCCCGCCATTCAACGGGACCGTCGGCGTGCAGCTAAACTTCACCTCCACCGAGCCGTGCTGGTTCAACCTGCGCCGCAATAACACGGGCCCCGACGGCGCGAACGGACACGAGTTCAGCGTGTTGGACGTCGTGCGGAAGGACGGGCCGCAGACATTTTCTCTGGTCTCCACCTCGACGTCCTCTACAAGCGCAACAACGACTCCAACGGGCACAACAACCTCCGTCGCAGCGGCGGGAACATCAGATACAGCACCGGCCCCAACAGGTGGCACCAGCAGCGGCCTAAGCGCCGGCGCGATTGCCGGGATCGTGATCGGCGCCGTGGTAGCGGTTATTGCGATCTTCTTTGGCGTCCTGGCATACATGGCGAGGTGGAAACGATCAGTCAGGGAGGCGGCGTCGGCGGCTGGTCGGGACCCGTCGCATGCTCAAGACGCTCCCGAAGCCATGCATGGCGCAGCGCTCAGGGGATATCATGTAGCGGAAAACGGACATGGTTATACCCACGATCATGAGCAGAAGCCGTGGGTGCAGGTAGCACCGCAGGAGATGGACTTGGGCCATGAAGCGCAGGAGGTCGCGACGGCGGGGCATGAGCGGCCGAGGCATGAGCTGGCGTGATGGCCATTTTTCGTGATTAGGGGTTTGTTTTGGTATATACCATGGGGTTTTATGAGGGCGGAAAGTTGGACAATGGAGTTTTGTTACCTTGATAGGTTGGTGGTGTACGCGAATAGGTGTTTGTTTACTTCTCAACACTGCATGCACGTGTGCTAAGCAAGGGAGATGACGGCCTGTGGTGTTGAACAATTGACGAATCGCGTTCTCGATACATTGTCTCCCGTCGACATCGTGGGTGGCAGATACGACAAGAAATGCTCGCTTACGCGGTACGAACTGAACATCTAATAAACTTCCCCAATCCCTACGAGCGGCCGGGCATCATCTGGCCATGAGTAAGGGCCAGCGTGCGAAGCTTAGGCGAGAACATGGCAAACAATCTAGACCTGTTGAGTTCCCATTCTGGCTGTTCTGTGGCAAAACTGGGAGAGTCCTACCCCGAGATTCTCGTCGTGGGCCGGTAAGGTGATTATGGTGTGAGGCGGGGAACCATGCGGGCAGAGTTGGGAGTAACGGGATATATGAATATCATGCGTGTTATAGGTTCGTGGATTTGGTGAATACTACCTACCATCCAGTAGCCAACGACTGTATGGGGTAGCCCGGTCAAATAACCACAATTTGTAGTTCGACAGGTTCAGATTTATATTTTCTCTTCTTGTCCGTGTCATAAACTCAACACGATGAATGTATCTAGATGATTTAGTGTTTGGTTATGTAGCCCCCGTCTTGCACACCCCAAGAAAAACCAGAGGCGTCCAATTGGCAAGATTAATTAAAATCACAGCAGGGGCAATCAAAGCTGCTTGTAAGAAAGTGCAACCCACCACGCAGCGATGCTATATGATCAACCGAATATTGCCCGTTCAATCAACCCAGGCCGATTGAGATGGCAGAGCTCGTGAGGTTCCTGCATACGACAGGGGGCAGCTCATGACAGCCTGGAAGTGCCGCTCCTGAGATCCAGCCCTTCTGCTTGAACTCAGGCTGATGTGAAGCACCTTGGAAGAACAAACCACCACGGTCGCGGGTCCTTGCCCCTCTTCTCCCTGCCGGACAGGGGTCTTCCCCATGTTTTGTTATTAACGGACAATGAACCTCCTCGTCCCGAAAGTCCCAAGTGTGCAACTTGGGGTCACGGCCTCGGGCAAAATGTGGGGAGTACATTGGGAGTGCGAACATGACCAAGCCCACTTAGCACGAAGGATGTTATTGGTTTCCTGCAGCCGCGACGAGACAAGCATCTAGGCTGTGGAGAAGCGAGGATTGATAATGGGGTGTGGAGATATGTATGCATATATATAAGCAGGGCTGGAGAGACGGATGGACTTGCGAAGGAAAAAAAAGAGGGTCGTCGATCTGCTTTGTTCCTGACCGTCGGTCTCTTTGCCTCGCGACAACCTGCAAGCACAGAAAAGAACGAGATAAAGAAGATGAAGCTCTCTTCAGTGCTCATCGCCGTGCTGGCGGAGCTGTCCGTGGTGTATGGACAGGACTGTGATGCCGAGGCTCCCGAGCCGATTCCGCCGCCGGGTCCGGACGGAAGATACACCATCTCGGCACCAGGAATCAAGGCGCAGGTACGACGACAGTAAAACAAAAGCCACCTTTAGCTGGGAGTGCTAATTAGCTGCGATCCAGTTCATTCCCTACGGCGCAACCCTGACAAACCTGTTTGTCAAGGACAAGAATGGCAAGGATGTCGACGTGGTGCTCGGATATGATGATGTCGCCTACTACCGTTAGTTACACTGCTAGGGCCCGGCACTCGGAGAGGACAAACGTGTCCATGGGAAAACATTTTCTGACAGCAGCGCGCTTGCAGCCAAGGACCCCGGGCACCCCGTGTACAACTCCATCCCCGGTCGGTACGTCAGCCGGATCGGCAAGGGCACCTACACGATCGACGGCAAGGTGTACAAGACGGAGCTCAACGACGGCGAGAACACGCTGCACAGCGGCACCAACAACTGGTCGTTCCGCTTCTGGAACGTCACGGCGCTGTCGGCCGACTCCATCACCTTTGGCATCTCGGACGCGTCCAACTCGTCGCTGGGCATGATCGGCCGTGTCGACGCGAGCGTCACCTACAGCCTCAAGAACAGCACCTGGCGCATCCAGATGACGGCCGTCTCGCCCGACAACAAGACGCGTAAGCCGTTGCAGCCATCCTCGTGCCCAATCCTACCACACATAGATTAGCCTAACAGCACCCCCTTCACAGCCGTCATGCTCACCCAGCACACCTACTTCAACCTCGACGCCTACAAGAACCCCGCCACGCCGCTGGTGTGGAACCACACGCTGTATGCGCCCTACTCGAAGCGCTACCTAGAAGCGAACCAGGGCGCGGTGCCGACGGGCAAGATCCTGACCGCCGACCCGGGGACCATCAACGACTTCGCCAGCGACCCGGCCCAGCTGCTGGGCCACGCGCGCAGCGACCCCAAGTTCCAGGGCAACTGCGGCGCCGACGGCGCCTGCGAGGGCTACAACGGCTACTGGCTGATCGACGACGCGCCCAAGCACGCCGTCGTGGCGTCGCTGTCCAGCGCCTTCTCCGGCATCAAGGCCGACCTGCGCACCGACCAGCCCGGCGTCGTCTTCTACTCGTGCAGCTGGATGGACGGCAGTGCCCCCGTCAAGAGCACCCAGGGCCTCAACAGCACGACTCAGAAGGTCGTCAAGAGCTCGTGCATCGCCATTGAGGCCCAGGATTACCCGGATGGAATCAACCAGTATGTTGGCGTCTTTCGGTCTGTCCCCTGTTGTTTTTGTTGTTTTGCTGACCATGCCTCAAAATTGTCAGCCCCGAGTGGAACCGCACCAGTCACCAAATCCTCGGCCCGGGACAGACTTACAAGTGGGACAGCTCGTGGACCTTTGGGCTCCTCTAATCGCTCGCAACCGGTGTTACTGTTGGATCTTGCATGCGATCTTCCCGGAAAGGGGGCCCAAATAAAGTAGGAGTAATGACGGATGAAGCAACCTATATTAAGAAGCAGTTTTCTTGTAAATGCCTATCCTTGTAACAAAAATGGGAGTTGAAACTAGAGATAGCATACTGTTGAATGTTCCCTTTACAAGTGCAGTGGAACAAAGTGCCGAGCGATCATGGAGCCCAAGTTTGGTTGCCAAAGTCCTCAAACATTCGAAGCCAAAAGATGCGATTCGCAAACTGACGCCTCGGGAATTCTCAGATCCCCGGACATGTTAACCAAAGGGGATGCGACCATGTTCCATGACAGCGCATATGCCATCCGGGGGAGTGCTTGGATCGAGCAAGACCGGAACCGGAGCTTGCATCGTCCCATGACCTCGTTCAATGGAATCAGCTGGCAGCCACAACGAACCAACCGTTGAAAAGCTAACGGCAGGAGCTGTCTCGGTCCCTGCCAAGTCGTCTCATATCCTACCCGGGTAGGCAAGAACGCTTGCTTGAGCCGGCACAACGAGAGGAAGTCACCTAGGACTCCAACACGCTACGGACACCTTCTTCTATCCCCCCTGATACCCCCCCCCCCCCCCCCTGACCCTTAAGCAACTGCACAGGTCCCCCATTTCAACGAATTCTTCTAGAAAGACACAGTGGTGAATTGGTAAATGCTGTCGCCTAACATCAATTAGCCCCATATCTCTAAAAACGGTTGTCCTAGGGCTTGCGGGTTCGAGTGCCGTCTGTGTCGAGCTTTGACATGATCTCTTTTTTTCTCCATCTTTGTTCTTTGTGTCGAGAACAACACCGTTGTGGTTTTTGCCATATTTCTTATCCTGTATTTTTTTCGATACCGAATCTGGTTCCAGCTCCCTTGAACCCCAGTGGCTTGTTGGCCATGTGGATTTCTTTTCGACGAATCTGTATGTGAATTTTGCTCCTCGCCATACATGTATTGTTTGGGATTGGAGGTTTGCTGAGCTTCCCTTTGAAGCACTCGTTTTAACCACCGAAGCAGCAATTACCAAGCTCTTCCTCCCCAAAATCAAAGGCCCCTTGGAACTCGTCGAGAAATGATGCCTTCCTGAGGGCTGTCGCGACGTCCGCCACTACCTGGTCCTGGCGACGCAGCCGCAACTCATTCAGCCTTTCTTCCTCCACCTCGAATGGCCCATCAATACACAGCCGAAGCGTCTTCCCATCGACAACACAACCCTGAAGCTGACCCACAAAGCCCTCCATCACGTCTAGCCCGACAAAGCACACCCAGCCGTGCGTCTTCCGCGTCTCCGGCGCATTGGGTGGGCAAATAGCGACAGCAGCCGGAGCGCCACCGCTTTCGAACCGTTGCCTGACAAACGCATCCAACTTGGCAGGACTGCTGATAGTAATGGGCATTGCCCCGCCGCTGTCCACGCATATCCGAACCGCGTGCGGGAACTCGCTCCTGGGCGGGCGCCCGGATAGTCGTTTTCGCGCCTCTTTTTCATTCATCGTCCACTCTGGGATCGCAATCTGCCGCAGCGGATACGCCATCAACGCCAGCATGGCGGCCGCCGTGCGTGTGGCATCCATTCCCGCGTCGTGGGCGTGCTGGCGTAGGATGTCCTGCACCGTGTACTTGTCGTGGCTGGGGAACCCGAGCGTGAGCATGGTGTCCCGGAGCGAGCGACGCTTCTTGCTGCGTACCAGTATGCCCGCCATGACGGCCACAATCTCGGCGAGGTCGGCCCAGCTATCGAGGTGCGAGAGCAGCCGCGGGAAGAGCGCCAGCGTGGCTCGGATCTCGGTGTGGACGGACCATCCGACGAGGATGATCTGCTAGCGATTCGGGCGGGGCTCGGGACTTCCGAATGTCTCCGTGAACAGGCCGCAGATGTGATCTTCAAGTGCAGCAAGTGGAACACTCTCGACTGCGCCGTACCGGAATCTCTCGGGCTTATGCTTGCTTTTCCGGTCGCTGATTTGGATACTGATTTGGATGCTGAATGGCCTGATGCAGTGGCGGCGCACGAGAAGGTCGAGGTCATCCCTCTGCCACCGCCATGGTCGTGATGGCGAAGATGTTGGCGTTAGAAACGCCAGCCCGATGGAGGTGACCCCTCGAGATGGCCCTCTTGGCCCTCGCAGTCTATCGCCACGAAAATTGAAGAAGATACATGAGATCGGATGGGGTCAAGCGTTGTGATTTTTCGATTATGCCAAAATTGCCGGCTCTCTTGCGTGGTAACAAAGGATGGGTATGGCTCGAGCGTCATAACCGATATGCGTAAGTTTCTTTTTGATAAGGGGTGTTGAATAATTGATGTTGGCGTCTTGGTGATTCTGTGGAGGGCAACGGAACAGCTTCTTGGACGGAAAGGCAACTCTTTAGGGTCAAGTCTGCGATGTATATTGGGGCGTGTTTTAGAATTCGAGCCCGCCGGGTCAAGGGGCGCTAATCATATCATGGTGCCTTAGGTTTGGGGTAACGTTACTCTGAACCTAATAAGTAAAGATGGATGAGAAGAAAAGTTTATCGAGCTCTTTTTTGGGGATATAATTGGTGAAATGGAAAAACACGAACATGGATTGGAGGTAGGTGGGCCGGGAAGCCGGTCATCCTTAACTGTCGATCGAGTGGTTGCTGCACGTGCCATTGACCAAGATAACATTGAAATGACCCCGTCTCTCCCCCGAGGGCTGGTTGGCCTGTTGGCGAGGGTTCGTTGGGCAGCTATTCGTGTTCCACGGCCTCACCGCTGGGTTGTTCGACCGAGTTTGAATGCTGGCTCTCCTTTCTGGCAGTTTCTCCCAACGAGATATTCCCGTGCAAGTGAACACCACAGTTGCGAGAAAAGACCTCGGCGTGCTCGAACAATCCATGATGGCTTCAAAACCACTCCCAACCAACACGGCGACAGCCATTTCGTCTGGAGAAACGACCCAAGCCACAACGCCAGACCAAGCGACTCCCCAACCCGCAACGGACCCACGAATCGAGCAGTCAGTCGCCGAGTTCCAGACCTTCATCTCCTTCATCTTCAGCGTCTCCATCTTCGGCGCCTCTACCTTTGCCGTGATCGTAGGATAGATGACCGACCCAGCCGACATCTGGACGCCCGACGACCCGCCCTTCTCCCTGGCGCAGGTCCGGACCTTCCTGGCCGTCTCGTGGCTGTGCTTTATCCTCTCGCTCGCCGTTGCCGGGTACTCGTCGAGCCTGCTCTTCATCTGGCGGCAGCGCGCGGCGGCGGCGGGGCAGGAGGGACCGCGGGCTCATGGGGACGAGGCCAGGGCGTGGGAGAAGAGCTGGGATTGGGTTGGCATCCCGGCCTCAGTCTTGCTGCACCTGCTGCTGGTGACGGCGTTCTTGTTTCTCTCGATGGCCATGGTGGCGTATGTTGGCGCGGTGGGCTGGGTGGCGGTCGGGTGCTCGTCGTTGGCTGTGGTGTTTGTCCTGGGGCTGTCTGGGTACCAGTGCGTGTAAGTTTTGACGGCAGTTGGGTTGGGGATGTGATTATCGTGAGAAGTCGACGGTTGTAAATTAAACACTGCTAACTGTGAGTAATATAGGAATCGCTATCGGGTGCATCGTTGAAATTTGGGTTGCTACTTCTAGTTTTGGAGAAGTTAGGCTCCGGGGCACCGGTCATGGTACTGGTGGACAATAGTCCAACTCGTAATAATAGCACTGATGAATCTGGAGTCAATCACCGTGACGGGTCGGTGGGGTCAAGCGATGACCCGTAGATGAACTTGGTTATTCGCTGGAAAGCTGGAGAGTAAGAAAACGCAAACTGCAACGGGTGGCAATCTGGAGAGCTTTTTCATCAAGCCGAGCGTTCATCAATGGCGGATGAGGTGACTGGGAGTTGGACATGTGAATTGTGAACGTCTCCAGCCAGCGGAGGGGGCGTTAGTTTTCTGTGGCAGGTGGCCTGTGCAGTAACGCGGGGCGCCCATTACGTAAGTAAACATGGATCCAGCAGCGCCCAGGGTTCCAGAGCTTTGGCGGGGAATTTTCGACAGCCTTCTCGAAAGGGCGCCAGGCAAGATCGTTGAACAGCGCCATCGTCATCAACAGCCTCGAGCTCTGCGGCTTCTCACCTCGCAACCCGCATCACAGACAACGTATCAAGTCGCAACCCTTGCGCGAACCTCGAACATTTGCAAATCACAACGCAACACACATCCTCTCGATCAAACGACTGCATCGCCCATCAACTCTGCATCGCGTGTAATTTCTCTTCCACCATGGGTAAGTCGCCCCCCTTTGCCCCAAAAAATTCCCCCCTCCATCGCCTCCACGAAAAGCTAACCTCACTCTCCCACAACACAGGTTCCATCGTCCTCCCCCATCTTGAGACCGGGTGGCACGTCGACCAGGCGATCCTCAGCGAAGACGAGCGGCTGGTGGTGATCCGGTTCGGGCGCGACTACTCGCCCGACTGCATGCGGCAGGACGAGGTGCTGTACCGGATCGCGGACAAGGTCAAGAACTTCGCGGCCATCTACCTGTGCGACGTGGACAAGGTGCCCGACTTCAACCAGATGTACGAGCTGTACGACGAGTGCACCCTCATGTTCTTCTTCCGCAACAAGCACATGATGATTGACCTGGGCACCGGCGATAACAACAAGATCAAGTGGGTGCTCGAGGACAAGCAGGAGCTCATCGACATCATCGAGACCGTCTACCGCGGCGCCAAGAAGGGCCGCGGTCTGGTCGTCAGTCCCAAGGACTACTCTACGCGGCATCGCTACTAGAAACCGAGGAAACGCAGAGACACTGGGAGGGAAAAGATATCACCGGGGGCGACGGACGGGTTTGGAGATTGGGTTTTTATTTGGCTGATGCCTTGCTGGCTAGCTGGCTGTGTGTCCTGCGGGACTTGTTGCGTTGGTCGGGCCTCGATATATCATGGGCGCGACGGAAAGGAGTTTTTGGAGGGGGTAATTAAATGGGAATCATGGCGTTGGAGTTGCACTGTGCTGCCTGCATGTACGGGTTGCGGATGGTAGAAAGTAAAGCGAGAAGCGTTCTATCCGGCAAACCGTTGGGTCCTTTCTCTATTACGTATCAGCGCTTTCTGTATGTCAAGCATCAGCGTCTTTCTTAATCCTGAACGTGACTTGGACATATTGAACAAGAGGGACATAAGAGATCTAGTACTGCCGTGTTAGTTGCACTGCTGAATACCATCAACGGGGAGGAATAATTGGGAACGGGGAGGTCTGTGGGTGGGGGAGTTTGTGGAGGAAGAGACACCTGAATCCCCTAGGTCCACCTCAGATCGTGCCGGTGAGCCGTCAGCCCACCTGGATTGGGGAGAGAAGAGGGAACAAGGCGCGAACCCCCTTTTTTGGTGTCAGCTGAATCGGGGGGCCGTAGTTGAGAAAGTCCTTTGTCCCTTAACATGTGCGGTGGAGGGGCAAGGAAGGGACAAACATAGCACTGTGGATTCTCTCCCTCGTTTGGACGGTGGGGTCGTCCCAAGTCTGCATCCCGGGAAATGGGAGGATGGCCGAAGGTTAAATAAAGAGGAACGGCTTAGAGCGAGCCGGGATGACAAAAGATCATTGCTCCCTTGCAAAAGAACAAAAAGGAAAAGAGAAGCCTGCTTTCGAGACGTGCATGGGGGGCGGGGAGGGGCTGGAAGTGCAACCCATTGCCGATTTCATGAAGTTGCTAGATCGCGATTCGTGATTCGTCGCAGCACGTAATCTAGAAAATAACGGTTATTTCTTGGCATGGACAGCGGGAAGCGA